ATTTTTGAACTATGTTGTGTTAGCTAAGAAGGATAGAAAATAAGTTTTATTTTGGGAATGCTGAGTCAGCTTTCACACTATTATTTCYTTGAATATAGTTTTTATATTCAGTATCCATACCTTCCTCATTTCATAGAGCAGTACTTTAAGATCTGTTCAGCTCCTTTAAAAACACYATTCTCTTTGAAATCTATTTCAACTAACTCTGTTTTTGTCCTAGTTCTTTCTTATCCTACTTTTAGCTTTTAGCTAACCCTTTTCCATAGCTCTGTGGTCAGTCTCTTAATCCTGAGGTTGCTGGTTTGAGCCCATGTTGCTTCAGGAAGGGCATCTGSTGTAAATAAATGACAAATATTTCATGCGAGTTTGCTTCAGGGGGAAAAAACATGGCTACTTCTAGCTGTTAGCTACAGTTCTGTTTCATATTTTCTACCATTCTGATTCGTGTAACTTTTAACTTCAGGTTTTCTCATTTTAGCTTTAGCATCTGTTTTGCTGCTTTTAGCCCCTGATTTGATCTTTTCTGGCATGTTTTGCTAATTATAGTTTTAGCATTTTCTTAGCTAATTTTGTGAATTTAAACTTATTGTTCTTCTTGTTTTAGCTACTATTTTGCTGCTTTGTTCTTCTTTCTTCTAACATTAACAACACACTCAGACATCTGCAACCAATTTACTCACTGCATTTTTGCTGAAAATGCAATTTTTTTCAGTTAAATCAACAGAGAAAAGTATTTGTTGGTTTAAAATTGTACTTTTATAAAAGCTGAATTTGTTTTTGCTTTGACTGTTTTTCAATTTAATGTTAAGACAATCTGCATGTTTACAATTAGAGAAGATGTAGGCTCAGTGATGTGATGATGTTAGAGGAAAGTCACGGTTGAGAGCACGAAACGAGCCAGATGAGGAAGTAATGCTCGGTTTGTAAAGCAGAAGTGAAACGGTGCTCTGCGGTTGGTTCCTCTCTTGTGTTTCTGAGAAGGAGAGACAGTGCAACAGGAAGTGAAGCAGGCGGTGGCAGAAACACCACAGGAAGTGAAGTGACGCTGGCTGCACAATTGGATTTATTTTTCTTTATTCGTTTTCTGATTTTCTGTCTTTAAATGTTGTAGACTACAGCTCCTTTAAGTTTCAGTTGGCTTAATCTCTGCCAAAGGTCATGCAGTGTTTTTTGGCCAGCTGGTTTAACCAATTAATGAAAACCACTGTATAACTTAAAACAAGCTAACGTGAGCAGTTAGGATTAGTGTTCCTGTTCCAGTTTCAAGTACACTGAACAAATGTAATAACTGTTTTAATRTAAATCTAGTGAGTGACCTTGTGTGGATTAATTAAATTAATGCTAATCTAAGCAAGATAAAAGCATCCAATGAACTTCAATGCCTTTTCTGGCTATTTTAGCAGATATGCTAAAATATGGGGGTGGGATATTTAAAAACACTTCATATGATAAAMACAAAAAACAATATTTGAAGACACAAAAGTTTATTTATTTCTGTTTTACAYTGGAGTAACTTAAAAGATGCAACTTGCTGTTATGTTCTGAGGTTTACACAGTGAATGCTCTGTTTTGTTGCCGTTAGCATTTTTTGTCACTAGAGGGAGCTACTTTGATATGATTTGTGCAGAGGAAACTGTGGTAAAGAAAATACAGAGATTCTTAACATACATCATGTTCTGTATGGCACAGTTACTGTCACCAGTTTTGTGGGCTTAAACCCTCGTTTTCTATTTTATTGCTTTTGCCACAGCTCTTACATTAAAGCCTGCATGGTGACATGATCTTCTGTCAAGTTTTATTTTTTCTTCAAAAACCTGCCCAGACTCTTGCAGGCAGTTCTAAGGGCCTGTATTTACCTCATGTCTGTGATGTTGAGAAGAAAAATAGGGGCCTGTTAGATGTGACCTCTACGCTGCACTGTTTCATTGCACAAGTATTTTATTTTTGTGATCTGTATCTAACAAGAATTTTCTACAGTGGTTTGTCTGTTCAGCAGCAGATAGAAGAAACATGGGATGCCCCCCACCCCCACCCCCCATCTAAATACCAGCATTCTTGTACACTGTCTGTAACTTTGGTAAACATTGTAGCTTACAGTTGTTCACAGACAGCACTTCATACCGTGGGAGGAATGAGGCCCGTGTCGAATGCCGASGGAATATTCCCATGTTCTGTCACCACTCTGCCTCGTGTTGCCAAGTGTTTACCTTACAAGTTTYTGCTTCAGGTCATGTGACAGTTCTTTTTTTCTTCACCCCCCTCAGCCTCCTCTGATCCAGGCGATCTTCAGCGGAGACCCTGAGGAGATCCGTATGCTCATCTACAAGTCTGAAGACATCAATGCTCTGGTGAGGATRCGTGCAAACACAAGTGTTTCGTCTTGTCTTGAACCTTTGACCATTAAATCCCCATAGTTGGTTTTGGTAGAAGTTATTCTCATTTGCCCTCTTTGATTTGAAGCCCCAAATGTTACCTTCAGGAGCTACATACTGTAAGATCTACTGACGTGTCAGATGATCTGAACCTGTCGAATGATTCACACGTGTCACAACTGTCCCAAGAATTAATGCCACTTCAAAACCTCTGACCCTTAATTTACACTAGATGCAGTTCTGAGTTTATACACTGCTCAAAAAATAAAGGGAACACTTAAACAACTCACGGTAAGTCCAAGTAAATCAAACTT